TTGCGATGATCAGCTGTGCTTTGGCTCACTCTCCACCCCTCGCAGCATAGCTGATTGGCGGGGCCTTTGGGATGATCGCGGGGAAGCACTTCCCCGTGATCATCGCAAAGTGAATTTTCCCTATAGGGGCCATCACAAAGTGATCGCTCTTGCGATGGCAAAAAGTCCATCGCAAAGCGATTTCATCGTAAAACGGAGTGATCGCTATGTGAGGCACCACTGTACTTGGCCTTTAACTTTATACTAAGGGGCTATCAAATATTTTAGTTGTATACTTTTATTCTACAAACAATGAGTCAATCATTAACATACAAATGTCCTAATATACGGGATTCATTCTTTTCTTCATTCAAACAACCACTCTTATAGCACTTGGATATCATTTTAAGAATCTAAGAGTAATGCTGGATCAGAATAAAGGCTTGTCTAGTCCAGAGATTATGACCAAGCATAGCCTATTTATCTGTTTTATACTCTGCCTCTTTCCCCATCTATTTAAGGCAATGCAGGCGGTTCTTCCACATTTTATCCTTAAAACTGCGCTGTGAGCTGGGTCAGACTCAGTGACTATGGCCAACCCAATAAATTCATAGCCAAGTGTGGGATTGAATCCCCATCTCCCAAGCCTTTGTGTTCAGCACATATAACCAAAGCAAAGGCACTATGACACTTTGAAGACTGACAGTTTTATTTCAGCAGGTGCTTTTGTGAATTGTAATCCAGAAAAATTCTAACTCAAGTAAATCTGTTACCCTTAAATGTGCCACAGTATTTGTGGTGTTGTTATTTGGTTATACATTCTGAAACAGACTGACTTGGCTGTATGTGCTTCCAGTAGATCTTACTCCCAAATAAGGCTGAAGTCCACGTGTGGTTAAGGTACTCCAATGATTGAAGCCCTTTGTGTAAAATTTTTTAAAAAATATTTTCTTTGTAAACTACTAGGAATAGGGTAGGGAATACAAAAGGTAAAAGGAAGTGGAAAGAATGGGAAAAGGGTTTCAAGGACAGGAGAGCACAGAATATACAATCATCCAATCTATTCATATTAAGTATACAAGCCTCCAATCTATTCATTTTTCAATAAAAAATCAACTTTCTACTTTTTTAACTGTTTGATTACCCTCTAACTATCAGCTTACATTTATGTTTTAGTTTAAATCTAAGTTATTCCAACACTATCAGGAAACCGAGACCAACTGTAAAATGCATCCCCTCTTTCAATTTCCTTCTGTCTTGGACATACCTTCAACATGCCTGAAAAAGTATCCATTTCTATCACTTCCCATATTTTCTCAGTGCACTTCACTTGTTTCCATGACTCTGTTTTCTTTCAGTTTTTGGTATATAGGGTTGAATCCAGGACAGTAACCTGATTTTTAACATCACCTTTTCTGACTAATGTAGCTAAATAGCTCACAGGATAACTATTAATCTCATCTATGTTACATGGCATCACATTCAATAAAAACAGTTCTGGAGTTAGTACAGTTTCCTTTAACTGTTGTTTAACATCTAATGGTTTCTCTTTCATCAGATCTTCCACCTGGTTGAGGCGCTCATTTACCTGTTGAAATCCTGTCATTATTGTCATTTGCATGGTAACCTGCCATTCTTTATCTGGCAAAATTCCCAACAGTTGATATTTAAAAGTTTCGGAGGCCATTTCCATCTTTCCAGTTTGTATGGTTTATATAAATAATATTTTTTAGTTTCCACTATTTTATCAACAAACCAAACCCATAATCATATACCTCCCCTGAGTATGTCCTCCTTGCCCAGATATTATGACATATAGCTCAACTTTTAGCCCAACAATTTGAATTACAACCGTGGCAGTATTATCAGAATCCACATAGTCCAACCAAGAAAAGTCAAAACTAAACAGTGAACACAGGGAGCCAGTCTCTCCAATAGATATCGTTGTAATCCATCCAAACTCCAGTCCTGGTTTTCCTAGCTCCTCAGTCTATTTGGTTAGGTTCATCTTGCTGATATTTCACTGTCTGTTTTCTTGC